TAACAATATCTTTATTTATTTATCATAATAAAAAGGTATCTACTTCACCAACAATCCAATTAATGCTTATATACATGTTTGTAGATCTGGATCATATCGTGAACTCGATGCTTCTCGTGTGCTCCCAAAGTCAGTCACCGCGTTAGCCACGAAGGCTACTGCCTCGATAGCAGAGGCTGCTGAGGGCAAGACTGAAACAAGTCACCCAACTACTTTTTAATTTTTATTTTTTATTTTTCAGTTCCCAACTGGTTCTTTAACAGTTGGTCACTTGCGAGGGAATTTGCAACGTGCACGCTCGCATGCTGGACTGCATCCAACACATGCATTGTGCAGTTTTCTTTCTTAATTTACATCGCTGCCGTTATTATTTTCAACCACCAGTTATATTTACATTTGAATATAATAAGCTATAAAGAGAAACATAATCATACCGTAATACTATTTGAAACCCTTTTACAATACTTATTACGAAAAACACTTTTCCACAATAAGTAATCTTTTACCGATTGAATTATGGAAACTTCAAATTCAGAAAAATAACATTTCAAACAAATGATATATATAATTGATTGCACTTGAAAAGGGAAAGTTTTTGAAGAAAAATTCGTTGTAAATGTGAATGATTCAGCATTTGTTTTTGCACTTGGAAAGAACGGTTTCATTTAACATCTTGGTCATACAGCAACCACTGTGATTTTTTAACTGTAAGGGAAACTGTAGGGAGAACACATAAGGAACAAACAAACATCCATGCCCGAGGCGGGATTCGAACCAGCGACCTTTCGTGCCTAGGCTGATACAGCCCTTGAGTTTTAACGAGTTCGTGTGTGTGTATATATATATATATATATATATATATATATATATATATATATATATATATACATATATATATATATAACAGTTTTTATTGCACAGAAACGCATTACCCTAGTCTCAAACTACATAAAAATTCATCTCATTTTCAGAAACTAGTGTGCTAAAACAGCACGTATTTTCAGGCAAAATTACACGAAAAGTACTCAAATTTTCGAAGACCTTTACGTGGTGTTATTTCAAAATCTATCTTTAAGGAACATATTTCATTACAAGGAAAAAATCTGTTTTTAATATTTCAGATGTAGGAAGACTGAAAAAATTTTGAACTTTTGCAATTTTCGAAAAATCAAGGTTTTTAATGAATATGAGACGAACCATTCATTTAAACGACCTTCACACTATGCAACCGCAAATTTTAATTTTAAAAAATGGTGCTATTTTTTGAAAATTTGGGAAATGTACCAGGGCCTTTACGTAAAATATCCCCCAAAATTAAAATATAGTTTTCAAATTCAAGGGACCGCGACATCAGCCAGATTGATTGGTGAATATCAATTTTGGAGAAAATCGGCGGAACGGTTTAGCTGCTAGACTTGTTCACAGACGGAAGGACAGACACGTTTTGGCGTCATTTGATTTTTCGGTATCAAGAACCCATAAACATGGATTCTAGCTAAATCACGTGTAAGAGGATTTTTTCGTTACCAGTGCCCTATAATACGAGTTTTTCTGCCGCAAATTCGCCGTTTTTTCGCGCAGCATTACAACTTTTGTTCTACTTCACAGCGAGAAAGTAAAAATTAAAAACCAAGAATGTCAGCATGCTGATATATTTACTAGTGTTCGTATGTTTTATACTGTAGCTACGATCCCGCTTGCAGGTCCTTGCAACACTGAATAACTGAGTAACTGAGAGAGAAGCTTGTTGATGCTTTCTTGATATCGTTAAAGGAATTCATTTATTGCTTTTCTTCCTGGAAAGTAAGAATATTTGTTTAACCACAAAAGAAAGGACTGATCGACTCTTCAACTGCGCGAACGACCGAGTGGTAGAACGTGTAAGTTGTAAAACCAAAAGGAAAATGTAAAAAAAGCCTAATCTAGTTTTATTCAGTACATCAAGACCAAATGCCATAAAGCACGCAACGGATTTGGTTGATTATAAGCCACGGCTAACGCTTCGGATAGGAAACTTCAACTACGTCAATTATTTGCTATGGTTGATGGCGCATATTGCATAGATTACAAATGGACATTATAACTTCAATACTAGTGGGCTTCCGGGACAAAAATTCTGCCGAAGAAAATCATACAAAATCGTTTTCCAAAATGTAGCTCACACACACTGCTCAAGAACATTTAAAATGGTATCGTAATACCCTGCAATAAATGAAATTTTAACAAAAACTGTCTTTAAAAATCCTGCAACAAATTGTAATATAGTACATAACAGTACAACAGTTCTTTGAATTCCAAAAATATCGAAAAAGTTTCTGTTCCAAAGTGGAACACGTGAATAAAAAATATTTAACGGCATGCGATCTCTTCCTTGGAGAGCCTCATGACGTCAGCTTTGTTCCAAGCACTACGTATCAGAATGCAGGCGTACAGCATAATGAGAATAGACCGAATAACTCATCGAACGTTCTCAAACTCAAAAATTTCCATTTTGATTTTCCATTTTCCCCCGCGTTCGTGGTTATCTAACGCAAACGATGACACTTCTCACATGGTGATGATGAAGGTGATAACGATATAAGCCCGTTGAATCCCTAAGAGGGCAAGGTCTTCCTGTCAGAACACAGGGGTGGTTCTGCTTATCTCTTTGGGTGAAGAGATTATCACATGAACCGCTGCATAATTTTCATTCAATTTTTGCACGCATTGGAAATTGGTTATATAGATAAACATTTGAATTTTGCAGAGAAAATCGAAAATGTTTCATTTTGATTATTCCAAGTGTTCCTAGGCATCTAACGAAAACTCAGACACTTCTCACGTGACCCGCGAAATAGTTTTCTTTCAATTTTTGCACATACGGGAAATTAGAAATGTAGATAACGGGAGTCTTTTTCCTCACCAGCTTGGGTCTCATCGGTCCCCGAGCCCCTGGTCATCCATGGCAGCATCATCCAGTCGACGCCCAACGCAGTGGCGCTGCCACTGGCGCGCGTCATTCGCGTGAAATGCTGCTCGCAGTCCGCAGCAGTTGCCGCCTCAGCGACACAAGTCCAAGGTCGCCCCTTGCCCGACGCCGGCGGCGCGATGGCAGTCGCTCCCGCACACGCGCCGGCGTCGCACGCAACAATCGCACGCGACCGCGAGGTGGCGCCGAGGCTGCGAGAAATCCAGAAACGGGTATCGTGCCCTTGATAGGTTATCTCGGCGATCGTCTCGAGGGCGGAGCTCGCTGCCTGCGAACCGGAGCATTTGCACAGACGGCGCGTGGCGGAGTTGGAGGTAACCCGAATTGCCGTGATCAGGGGTCTAGGCAAAACAATAGCTCTGCGAGGAGAATTGGATATAATACAACAAATAGACGTTACTGAGAGAGGCAGCGTGATTGCGCTATCTCTATTGAGCTTCCATCGCCAGACTCTGTGCTCTGAGGCGGGCGTGCCGCCACTGACAGGACAGGGCTCGAGGTGGCAGCGGTGGCTGTTCTCATCCCCTCCCCGCTCCAGAGGGTCCGCGTGCTCTTCAGCTGCAAGCGCTCCCATGCCGGAAGTACCACCGAACTCAGGTGAGAAACTTTTTACTGTTTAGTGTTTGTTTCCTTTTTTGTATCCTTTCTTTCATTGAACACGAATTTTCCAGCACATCAGATTCTCTTTTTCTCTTTCGTTTCATGTATTTACTTCTTGTTTATTCATGTATCCTTTCGAGGGCTTAAATACAATATTATTTGCACTAATAGGTGTGAGCATTCTTCGCTTTTTGATTAATAGATCGCAGCCCAGTTTTTCAGATATTGTTTAATTTACATCACTTAGCATTTACTTAATATTGCATAATATATTATTAAGAATGTTTGTTGTCATACATTCATCAATTACTTAAGGAGGTGAATTTATTTTTTGAAAATTTGGAATTCAAGTAGTGAGGTAGTTAGGATAGTATAAAAAGTTTCTGAAATGTGCTACAATAGGGTAGTACTTTAAATTTGCATGGTTCTATTATTTACTCCGTCATATTTACTCCCCGGTGATTTGGTCACTTTCAAATGACTAATGATTTTTAAAACTTCTGGTGGAGATATAAACTTAATTTCCGTTGTACCTGAAACCTCATATTCATTTGCCAATTCAAGCCCATTTTATTGTGATTGGCATTGCAGTAACATGTCAAAACACCTGCTCTAAGGTATCAGCTAAGATTTCGGTTGCATCATCGTCTGAGTATGTTTTATTTATTTTCAGGGGAGATTTTTTAGTTTTTCTCCTGTGATGCGTCTGATTGTTGACCAGAGATGTGTTGAAATTGTGTCTATTGTTTTAACAATTGTTGAAAACAGATTAGTCAATAGAGAAAAATTTGGGAGAAATGGAAATAAGCGGAAGCTTTGTGACTAGCAAAATTGCAAATTACCAATAATACAATGTTAGTGCTAATGGTGATACGCAAAACCGTACCTACTGAAAAGAGTCAATGTGTTGAGTAAACTTATTGGGACCTTGAAACTATTATACTTCCACTACTGACATTCATCCGGAAAGAAGAGATTGTGAAGAATCAAAACTTGTAGGAATTCCTTGCTGATCGCGTGCTACTGATGAATACAAAATATTGCTTTGTCACAAATATTTTCCTTAGTGATCACAAATCAATAAACATTACATCATGAGTACTTCCCAATAGTTTTCATTTTAAAAATGTGTCATGATCATTTGAATACTATGGATCAAAAGAAAGGAGAAAAATATTGCGAAAAAAATTGCCAGCTAGCATGTAATTCAAAATTTTTTTTTCTTGAGTGCATGTAAAAATATTACTTTAAGGACAGACTACTTTACACCTTTATGGAGCAAGACGAACAATTTAATAATAAAATGAGATGCTCGTGTAGCTTACCTTGTTTCGTTTTCATTTCATTTACTTAACTCGTATAGTTTTTGAATTGTCTGAAATAATAGTTTAGAATGTTTGCAACTAACTCCAAAAAATAGGATCGTTAACAACGGTTTGGACCGTACACATTAGAACCATTAAACAGCATGCAAAGTCCAGCTTATTCCCTGAAATATTGAAGATCTTATATAATATCATTGGCCTGATTTAAAATATGTGCTGATCGACTCGTTGAAACTTAAAAATAAAAGTTATCATCTTATTTTTACCTACGTAAAACGTTCGTAGTAAAACTATTCGTAGTAAAACGTTCATCACATAACATTGTGCGGAGTCGAATCATCGAACACATATTTCCCTTCATAAGGCCGAGGCTGCAGCTGCCATTCTGGATGGATACCGATATAACAGTAGAGCTGTTCTTATCAGAACGACGAAGAACACTTGAGCTTCTAGATAGTGGAATTATCACGGAATAGGGAGATTTATAGTGTCATTTACATTATGTGTTGTAATAACAAAATTCTTTGTGTGAAATGTTTGCGAATCCACGTTAATCATACCTGGATGCAGATTTACAAAGGTTTTGTTCAACTGCTAAAGAAATAATGCTTCGCCCAGTATTCGAATTACCTTTTGCACAATGTTGCAAGAAGCATTTTCTACAGGATTCTAGCTACACAGCTTTTCAAGTTTCATCATTTTATTTCTGTGTGCAAATAATAAAATAAAATTTATAAGCTACTATTATCTACAATATTTGCTCTAAACACACAGATCTAATTTCGAGACGTAAGCACTTGCGCACGGTATATTTCTCCCAACATTTACGGTCTCATTTGTACGTAATCAACTAATTCTCAATATTTAAGTTAAGATACGATGCACGCACTGAACACAATAATTATCTTATGTTAGTAACCATTAACCAAAAATTAAGTAAGTTTATGTATTTTTTATGTTTATTCTAAATTTTTAAGATCAAAAAGCATTGGAATTATATAAAAAAAGTAAATCCTCAAAATAGAATCATTTTGATGAATAGAATAAACTGTTTAATGTATATCAATACGTAGTTAAAATTGTTTTATCTCAATTTTCATTTACTATAATGTAAAAGTAACGGTTGCATACAAAGAAGTGACAGGTGAAGGCAGATGTCAGATCAATTGTTCAATGGCGCGTCTTTTTTAATAGACGAGCGTATGTTCGTTGTAGTTTATCGTAAGGAATTTGCAACAGCTTGTGCTAGTCTTTCGGATATTATTGCGCGGACACACCTCACGACCCTCAAAATCTCTGTTTGATTTGTGGAGAGGAGCTTCTGCAAATCGCTTCGTTTCATTCGCAGTTCAGATTCACAAGCAAAGAAAGGAAATCAAGGGAGGTGGCTCAGGGCATCATCTGATATCACGCGTGCGCCTCTCACTGGCGGTCCCAACGGTGGCAAGGGTTTCGACAGCTAGACCGAGGTCAGTGGCTGTCAGCTCTGGTTGACCCGATTAATACTAGGCGAATGCCGAAGCAGTACCCTAACAAACGGGCCACTGACCCCGCGCGATCTTTCCTTCCTCTACGTTGTCCTATCGTCAACCCTTACACACACTTGCACTATCAGACACGTCACGCCGGAAGACCGCTTAGAGCTCAGAGCGTATTCCGGCTGGGGCGGTGCCCCAGTGGTGGGATAGCTGGTTGAGGAAAACCCCTCTAGACGACGGTGGGCACCGGATCCTTCCATTCAGTGGGGTAAGATCACCCACATCTCCTGGGAGGACATGCACTACACTTACAGGACTAATGACATCAGTAGACGTGTTGCAATATTTAAGCAAGCAAGCTAGTAAAGAGCAGAAGACATCCAGGAACATGTTTGACAAGCTGCAAACTAATGTCTTTCAAAAATGTTCTTGCTCGAGGCCAAGGATATTTAATTACTTGCGCATTAAGAAAACATAACTCCAACGGCGCCCGAGCGAGCAGCTTTCACCAAGCAAAGAGCAATGTTTGCCAGGATTAGTTATTCGAATTAGCAGCTTTAAACCAGCAAGGAGAGCGTGTGCTGTAGCAATACGTAATAAAATGGCGCTGGGGTGCATTCCACCCCAGCGCTTGTGTTTAACGGTTAAAAATCGATTTAAAAATCAATTACGTTTGACACAATTAGAAGTAAATCTTCATTTTGAAATGTTATTTGTCCAGAGCAACTTTACTTCTATCTATGCGTTACCTTACTCCCTTGCGAAATAACATGATTTTCTTTCATTAGTAAATCCCTTTATATTACACGACAATGTAATAGTATTGCTTCTTTCAGTCATCACTGAGTTTCTAGTATACTATGTATACGTGTGTATATTTCGATTCAGTCAAGTAAGGAGCACAAATTCAAGGGTTGATGATGTCTGACCCTCCACAAGGACTGATTCAAGGAAATGGCAAGGGAAGTTACAATATATTTCTTTATCTTACCAGTAATTGAATCAGTACGATGGCCTTGGAAAGCGAACAAGCTAGCCATAAGCCGGAGCTCGAGAGTAGAGACACATATCAAAAACGTCATTTTTTGCAGGAGAACGGCCTTATCCATGAGTGAGTAGTTTAATTCGCTTTTAAACACAATTTTTTTTCGTCATATCGACTATCTGGTAAACTATCTTCACATTTCTTTTATTTGTAAAAAAACGTGATGATCGTATTTGTTGACTAAGCTCAAAGATACTCGTCAGAAGTCACTTTCCTTGTGCCACGCGGAGGATCTTAACCTCCTTGCAATACTTGTGGCCGCCCTCGTTTACGCAAGCGAGAACAATTTGACCGGGGGGGGGGGTGCATCGCTCGGCGCTGCGCAAGCGGTTCCGCGCTGTGCTACCGCGTGGTTTTCGAATGGCTGAGGTGTAAAACGCACCAAGTCGGCGACTGCAGGAATTCTCGGAGTATGCAAATTGATTATAATCGTTCATCGTTAGAATACTGTTGGCGGCGAGGCGCGTGGACAAGCGACAAAATTCGAATGCCCACAGACAGGCGCAACCAGTTACAATGCTTCCCATGGGAAGAAGTAAATTTGCTCGCCTCACAGGATGCTGACAGGTAAGGCAATTGTAATTATTTGCTGTACCCAACGTAGACGGGAATGGTAATCACCAACTGTTTCTGAAAGTAATATAACTTCTGCAATGCACGGCACACAGTGACGGACTAAGCGAAGAAATTTGATTTTCTTGATTTGAAATCCCTTGACAGAGCTTGTTTTAAAACTTTAACGCTTCTAACAATCGTATTCAATAAAAAAATTAATAATACTGGATTTGATTAAGAAAATAAAAGACATTTTTTATAAAATTATATTTTATTCCATCTTTTTCCCTTGTAAATAATTTATTTCCGTAATGCAAAAAAAATTATACAATATTTTTACATAAAAATAAATTGCTGGTTCCACTAGTGAGTAGTGGCCATGACGTGTAATTCTGATCCTAGCACATCTGGCCTCAATTGCTTCTCCACGCCTGTACCAATGAGGGTAACTGATGTTACTGCAGTGCCTCTGTCCGGGATGTT